GTTACTAATTATACAAAGCCAGAAATCATCGTATAATGGTCCGCATTTGGTAGGGTTATGTGTTTTTTATACATTGCGGATGTTCAGACGACTAGTTACTAATTATACAAAGCCAGAAATCATCGTATAATGGTCCGCATTTGGTAGGGTTGTGTGTTTTTTATACATTGCGGATGTTCAGACGACTAAGTTACTAATTATACAAAAGCCAGAAATCATCGTATAATGGTCCGCATTTGGTAGGGTTATGTGTTTTTTATACATTGCGGATGTTCAGACGACTAAGTTACTAATTATACGAAGGCCAGAAATAATCATGTAAGAATATGAAGGTTAATCGGGAATGGAATATTTGAATAAGACAGAACTCTGAAGTTATAGCACTGAACAGAAAGTAAGCTCGTTTACGTAATCATCTATAATGCTCTGAAACGCTTCATTAATCCTCAACTTGCACGATAAAGTAATATTATTTTTGTAAGGTATTCAAGTTGAATTTTGTCGGTATGCAGTTTAACAACTTAATGATAATTTGTTCTTTTTTTTTTGCAGCCTTGGAATTGAGCAAGTCCGAGTTTTTAAATTTGAAGTCCAAGTACGATGAGAATTCTCATGCCAAGTAAGTTCTTTTAACTGGATTGCAACACGTGAAAGTGTCTGTGATACGTTGAATACGTGAATACAATTTGTTTATGCAAACGGCGTTTAAAACGCTGAAATGTTTGGTTAGGAAGGGACAATGTAAAATCGTTATACCTAGGTAATATTCCCCAGCGTATTCAATTTACACAATTACTGATAATTTGAATACAAGTTTTACTATGGAAAACAATTATTTATTTATTTTAAAACGAATAATAAAATAAATTTAATTTATTTGTTTTATATAAACATTTGTATCAACATATTAATACTATCCTAGTGGTTCTTAGTCATTGTGGTTTTTCATTTGGACATGTACCCCTGTGTAACAACGACGCTGATACGATATGAGTAAAACAGCCGTAAAAGCTTGAATGAATCACTGCTAAATGTATGTTGTTGAAAGGTTTGTTGTATATACAGTATTGAAAATAATTATGGAAACAGTGAATAAAATGGGTATAAAATGCAAACGTTATGGATTTGTCTGACTGCATCAGAGTACAGTCAACTGTTAATGATTTACGTTGTGATTGGCTGTCATCCAAACCACACTAGCATAATGCCTATAAAAGTTGTTGGTGTTGAATTTTCTGCTCCTACGCCAGAAGCCTAGCCACCCTTTTCCCCTAAATTGAAATTAAATTTTAACAATAAAAATATTATCAGAATTGTTCATTAGTCAGCCTGAGATACATTAATTTCAAGTAGAATTTCAATTGTTTCATGAGCAGGATCAAGAGAAACGGAAGTTTCTAAACATCCCTGGTGGTCTCTCACAAGCTGAGAAATTTTGAACCAAGGTCACTACCAATATAAAGTAAAAGTTCACACAAAGTTACTAGAAGGCTATCTGCGCTAGCCGTCCCTAATACTGAAAGGACAGACGAGAGGGAAGGCATATACTTAACACAGCTAATTCATGGGCTACTCTAATCAATTACTAAGAAATGATCGTTGCTCTTTTCAAGCCCCCATAACCTTAAAGTGTGGAGTGCGATTTGTTTTGACAGTAACGAGGCGCGAACCTCGGATCCACAGTCTGGCACACTAACCAAAGGCCGCTCCCAGCCTCCTATAAAAGGACATGCAGCTATATACTGTCCTCAGAAGTAGTGTTATAGTAAATGCTATAACGATACGTCACAAACGTATAGAAATCAAACATCTGGCGTGTGTGCAACATACTGAGATGAAATTTCAAGTTTCAGTAGAAGATGTATGGAAACTATCTATGTTGACAATTGAAGCTGTCGAGTTAGAAATCCTGAAATCTTCTTATGGTATGAACACTTTTTTACGTGATACACGAAAATCCAAAGGAGATCTTGCCAATGACCTAGCTGTAAATACAGGTCTGAATGTTACCTCTAGAACAGTAAGATATACATCAGCACGAAGTAGACCCAACGGATGTGTCGCTGCTCAGAAACCACTGCTTTGGAGAGATAACCAACCGAAAAAGTTGAAATGGGCATCAGACTTCAAATAGGATGAAATCAAATTCAAATAGTTTGGAAACAATCAACGTACAGCATTTTCAATTAAGTGTGGGCTGCATATCATCTAATGGGGTCTACACTAAATTCATGGCACCCTGACTACTGATGGGCACAATCAGGTTCTTATGGATCCCGTCATTCTTTCAGGAACAAGACATTTTTGGCAATAATTCAATTCAAATCTAGTAAGACAGTGATCCCATAACATCTATCAAAATGTGGCGATACGATAACTAGAAGGAAAAAAAAGCCAATTGAATACTTGAATTTGTATTATCAGTGCGTTTCTATAATTATTTTCAGTACTGTACATGCAGAAGTTAAAGAAGAAAACACAATAATATAATACCGATTATCAGTTATTTATTCAGAACGAGAAACAGTAGACAACGACATACGAGAACTTTCTAATCACGCGATTCTGACCATCTGTAAAGAACATTAAGTTTGTGTATAATATGAAACACGGTCTCTCATTAGTTAAATGTACAAATGAATATCTTAACATCTAATTAACATGTAATTAATAGTTTCACAAACTGACAAACTGGTTACATTTTTAAATAAGTGACTAGATACCAAAGCTTCAGCTCAAAAACATACACGAATATTTTAATTTTGATACTTCATTAAGGTTTTTGTTTCTGTAGCCATGTGTTAGAAGCTGTACAATAGGCAGGTTTCACAGGTTCTGCAGACTATACTGTATCGAATATCACGTGTTTATACATCAACATAAGTTCAAAATACACTTTTTTTTCTGTCCCCTTTCACTTCACCCTGTTTCTTTCGATTTTTAGTTATTCTGTAATATTCTTGACAAAAACGAAAGGTATTAGTAATGGTCACTTTTTTTTATATTTTTCAGCAGCGTTTTTTTTTTTTAGTCGTGGTGATCTTCAACATCGCAAAACCTTTTAGACATTTCGTGTACTGTTTTGACATAATAATTCGATTCTAATCTGACTCGGCTCGTTGTGTATATATTGTGAAATATTAAAAGAGATCAATATGCTAGAACTTTATTTTATGAATACACACGCTAGTTTGAACGGATCAATAAGTCAACGCACTTGAGATGCTAATCTACTTATTAGTATTAATATGACTAGCATAAAATACACGCTCTTCGCTACGGGGTTCAAAGGCCCCCTCGTGAGTCATAGAGGCCTTTTATCCCCAATTACTTTTATAGTTACCTCACGGGAATATATGCTCCCCTCCCCCCAAAAAAAACTTTTAGGACATTCACCCGTGGTCCTTGAATACGTGTGCCTTGTATTGTCCACTAGCTTATGAGTGGGGGATATGAGCACTCTTTCAAACATGGCATTTCCTGTATCCCCAAGGGGGCCAGGAACACAAACTCTGATGACAAATTTGGGTTCAACGACCCTGAACACCTACTCCTAGACTCCTGTCATGCCTGGGTGACCTTCTGGGCGCATTTCAGATAAGGATTTCCCCCAGGCTTCCCCATGTCTGCTAAGTTTGGTCCTGCTAGCTCCAAAACTGTGGGAGGATTTAGCGGACAAACAAATAATTTCACACACAACTTGAATTAGTATAGGATAGATAAAACCAAAGTATCAGTGTGACTTGATTTTGTTAAAAACTGTCTATTTAATAGCCCAAACAAACATTCCGCCGTTTATAAAATGTTCTATCTCGTGGTTTAAAAAAAGATGGGAAATTTCAATTCAATTTTTTTCAGCATACATAAAATAGTCAAGGCGGTAATATATATGTGGACTTTATAAACTCTTTCTATATATATATATATATTGTACAGTGTAATAAATTATTTGGGCTCAATACTGTGTATATGTTATTTTTATCACATATATACAAATACATGTCTCTTTCGAAACAAGCCTTACTAAAACACGAATAGATAGATTTCTGAATATTTATTTGATCTTTTTTTCCCCCCGTCTGGTTGACTCCTCTAGTTTTAATACGAATTTATGGTTTGCGTGTTAATGTAGGTATAATAAGTATATATGTTGGACGCACATATATCAATAAATTTCTGCAATAAAAATTGTCATTTTAAGTATTAGGAATATAGATCCAGTAATGATATACATTACGTAGCCACTGAGGAATTAAATATAAAGCATTAGGAGGAGAAAAGTGGAAATGAAATTAACAGTGGAATAATATGTAATCAAAACTTCGATGTCCATTGTAACTTATTTAAGTGGTGTCTGGACCACATGGTATACGTCTTTTTGACTACTAAGGGAAGTAATATTTCCTAGAAAATAAAATAACTAAATGTATACAAATGTTCCTGACTATACAAATCATTAATCTTTAGAGTCATGTGGTACAGTGTTAAAGTTCAACCATGCAACACATATTCTCATCCGTATTCGTTCACTGTTTATCAAATAACACGTCTTCAAAAGGTTCTCTTTTATCAAAAAAACACGTCTTCAAAAGGTTCTCTTTTATCAAAAAAACACGTCTTCAAAAGATTCTCTTTTATCAAAAAAACATGTATTCAAAAGGTTCTCTTTTATCAAAAAAACATGTATTCAAAGGGTTCTCTTTTATCACAAAAACACGTCTTCAAAAGGTTCTCTTTTATCAAAAAAACATGTATTCAAAGGGTTCTCTTTTATCACAAAAACACGTCTTCAAAAGGTTCTCTTTTATAAAAAAAAATGTATTCAAAAGGTTCTCTTTTTCATCAAAAAACACGTATTCAAAAGGTTCTCTTTTTCATCAAAAAACACGTATTCAAAAGGTTCTCTTTTGTCAACAAACACGTATTCAAAAGGTTCTTTTTTATATAAAAAACACGTATTCAAAAGATCGGGTTTCCCTTTCACTCTAGTTATGGGTTATGTTAATATATTTTTAATTCGTTTTAAAACACGAGGGCTGGCAGTGTATACGAGATGATGTCTCACGCGGAGCAACACACACACACACACATATATATATATATATATAACGTTTGAATAAAATTACAACTGTGACACAGGTTCTTAAAAACAGTTGAATAAAACTTCGTGCCATGTTTCATCTCTTCAGTGACAATTTTGTTATGTACGTGTGTCACATATGTTGTATTTTGTTTAGGTCGGACGAAATGGAAGTTTTCTTGAATGATTTAGAACGAGCCAATCAGGTAAGACTTATTATCTTTCGATAAATACTAAACAACACAAATGCTTACAGTAAAAAATATATATTATTTAGGCTATTAAAAAAGTATACCAGAGATTATCTCATATCAAAATATACTGTTTATATATATTTTTTCGTTAAGTTTGGAAGATACCAAGGAAGGTAGTCGTACAAATACGACAGAAACGGTTTTATTATTTTTTTTTATCATAAGCAGTGACAAAATAAATTTACCTCACACCTTATGTCACCTGGTGAGAGAGCGAGCTTACAACGCTAAAATCTGGGGGTTCGATTCCCTTATGTAGATACAGCAGGCCCGGCATGGCCAGATGTTTAGGGCGCTCGACTTGCAATCTGAGGGTCGCGGGTTCGATTCCCCGTCACACCAAACATGCTCGCCCTTTCAGTCGTGGGGACGTTATAATGTGACGGTCAATCCCACTATTCATTGGTAAAAGAGTACCACACGAGTTGGCGGTGGGTGGTGATGACTAGCTGCTCTCCCTCTAGTCCTACACTGCTAAATTGGGGACGGCTAGCGCAGATAATCCTCGTGTATCTTTGCGCGAAATTCATAACATAACAGACACGGCAGATAGCATAATGTGGCTTTGATCTAAAACAAACTTCCTACACTTTAAAACTAGAAAACTGGGTAATTATAGAACTTAAAGTTTTATGGCTGAATGAGTGGCAGTTGAAAGCAATTTTTACAATAGATCGAAACGTGTAAAAGTTATGCTCTTTGTGTTTTCCTTTTTCAATTATGTTTATGTTGCAGGAAGTGTAAGTGTATAAACGTATTTACTAAAACTAGATTACGTTTATCAACTTGCAAGTTTTATGTTGATTTTTGTCATCTCGAGACGCCCCACCCTGTGGGTCAGTCGTCAGCTTGATGGCTTGTAACGCTAAACTTTTTGGTTCGATCCCTGCAATGAGCACAGCACCTATATCACATTGTGCAACTTTGCCCATAAACAAAACAAAATAAATTGAAGTCTAAGGGTTTATAACGCTAAATATCGAATTTTGATATCCGCTATGGGCACAGCACAGCTCATTGTGTAGCTTTGTGCTTAACAACAAACAAACGAATTTTTGACATGTGATAAAAGCTCAAAAATATTTATGATATTTATACTTGATAAAAGAGTTAGCACAAAGGATCACATATAAAGTGTAATAAACTTCAAATAAGACCCAAAACTCGAGCGCTTTCGAATAGTTGACTATTCTTCTCCTGACGAGTTTTGGGTCTTACTTTAAGTTTATGATATTTATACTAGTATTCCTAGAATTATTCCATTGGTTTTTAACGCAATTTTTCTAAAATATTTAGAGAAATACTGAGATTCAAACTAATTAAAAGTTTTAGTGTAGAGAAAATAGTTCACTGAAAAAATAAGAGAATATTTACTAATAATCAATTCATTTGATTTAATTGTGTTATTAAAAACACACGTGTTTCGGCTTATCAATACTATCCTAATTTGTGCATCATATTATTTGAGAGTCCATGAGTGATGGTTAGAGGGTCCCTAATAAAACGCAAGATTGTTAAACAGAATTACCGTTCAATATTCCAATTAATCCAACTAATTACTGCTGAAGTCCAATATGTATTTTACGTAAAACAAAATGAATGATCTCACAAGGTTGTATTTGATCAGTTCCTTACACTGTGTGTTGTTGTATACGGCAAAAACATAAAACTACTCAGTATACTACAAAATGTAGGCCGTATAGTTAATGGTATATGTCTGAAACTTGAGGATTAAACAAACATAAGCATCGCTATTCGGAAATTGTCAATTGGAAGTTTTAAAATTATCTGTCTTGGAATATTTGTAGTGGCTTTACCAGTTCGCCTTTTTCATGATACAAATGCACAACGCTTGCCGGTGACGTGTATAATGACATATGCGTATGTGAAAACTTCCAAATATCTCCTTAATGGCATGTGGCTAGGTGATGGCTACCAAGAATTTAATGCCATGTGCATCTGTGGTGCCTTCAATAGTTCTCCTTAATAGCATGTGGCTAGGTGATGGCTACCAAGAATTTAATGCCATGTGCACCTGTGGTGCCTTATAAAGTCCTCCTTACTAGCATGTGCCTAGGTGATGGCTACAAAGGGTTTAATAGAGTTAGCCTATGTTATGACTACCGAGGATGTGCATCTGTGGTGGCTTCTAGAGTTCTCCTTGATGGCATGCACAAAGGTGGTTTCTGCCAAAGATCTTCAACATGAGTATAGGTGGTAGATACCAAAGATCATATTAATGACATTTCATTTTTCTTGAAATTTATATATATATATATAAAACTACCCAAAGCCCTAAAGCATAATTATCTGAAGTAATCCGAGACTGAATTAGTAATCTCTAGTTACTTAGTGTATTTAAATGAAAACAATGTATGAACGTACTAGAAGTATATATAACTCTGCCCTAACGCGTTTGTTTGTTTTCTTCATTGTCATGCTAGGAACAAGACCACAAAAAAACATTTCGAAGTGGTATTGTTATGAAGCTCGCACGTGTTATGATGTACGGCTTTCATGCTGTTGTATATTTTACATGTACTTATATTACATTTAGAATTAGTTACTTGAACTTACTTATACAGTATATATTATGTATTTTTTATATGTTATTTATTTTATTTGTGTTTATTTTTTCTATTATATATATATATTATTTATTTTTAGACTAACCTGGCTAAATCTCCTGAATATCATTGGGATTGTGGTTTAAAATATTGCTAATAGCGATGGTATTTAAATGATGAAACAATATATTCTAATCATTACAAGTTTTGGTTTTATGACTTTTAATATGCCTAGTTAAAACGGTATATTAAATCAGCTTTATTTATAAATGTTTTGTTTTTCTGATCTACTTGGGTAGCTTGCTTTAATCAGAAGTTAATGATAATGTATTTTAAGATTAGTTGAGATTTATTGGAAACCATATTGAAGCATTTTCTTTCAAAATGAGTTTACAGGAAGAAAAAGAAAGATGTCTTAAAGTAAAAAACTGTGATTAGAAATACATAATTAATACCATTTTAAATATGGTGAAATATAATCGGCTTGTTACATCTTTGGCCCCAAGTTCCTTGACATACCTAATAACAACGAACGTTAAAGTTCTATTAGAGACTATTAATATATGATAAAAAGGGTGGCTATTTTAGGCCAACAAACTAACCCTTAAAGCAAAAGAGGCCTGGCATGGCCAGGTGGTTAGGGCGCTCGACTCGCAATCAGAGGGTCGCGGGTTCGAATCTCCGTCACACCAAACAGGCTCGCCCTTTCAGCCGTGGGGGCGTTATAATGTGACAGTCAATCCCACTATTCGTTGGTAAAAGAATAGCCCAAGAGTTGGCGGTGGGTGGTGATGACTAGCTGCCTTCCCTCTAGTCTTACACTGCTAAATTAGGGACGGCTAGCGCAGATAGCCCTCGTGTAGCTTTGCGCGAAATTCAAACAAACAAACTTAAAGCAAAAGAAAATTGTTCAAATAATTGCAAATTGTTAAAAATCACGAGTCAATTATCTGGTACCAGATGGTCATTCGACATGATACGTTATTTTATCCTATAAACTTCTGTTTCTCTCTTCTTCTTTTTACATGTCACGTAACGATAAGTAAAAATGTTTTGTACAGTTTATTATTTAGCGCAATATTTTAAGTTTGGATCGCTACGCCAACTTCTAACATTGAAGAGTAGAAACAGCACGCAAAGTCAATGATATATTTGTATTTTTTCTAAGGCTTCTCTATTATACCCATAGGTAATTAACAGATAAATAAAAAAGGTTGAAATTTCATCTACTCACTAAAACTAGTCAAAGCAGAAAATTTTTTGTGAGACCAAACCTTAAATTCTTAAAATTTGACTATTCTTCTAATGAGTGCTAAAATATTTTTAAAGCAGAATATAGTTAGTTTGCCAAATTAAAAACGCGCTGTCCGTAATGAATATTTGGTAAACATAAAATTACATAAAACTTGAATTTAATTATGTTAAGACTGTCAGATGGAGATTTTTATTGCAGACCGTGAACCCATATGCACATTTACTGTTTTGTTTTTCTTTTCGTTTTTTTTAAGAGGAAAGAAATTTGAACCATTTGTTTTCCTGAATTAACAGCGATTGTTGATTAAAAAAGGAGTTTTTACGTTTTTAAACGATTGTTTATATATATTTCTAACAGAATGAAGTTGTCAAATAATATAATAAAGTATGCATTTGATAAAATCATAAATAATATTCAACGTTAAACTGGTACATAATTAAAAACATTTTATTTAGGCCTATCTATGGCCTTCAAAAAAGTTGACGAGTACCCACCGCCAACTCTTAAGCTCTTCTAATTAAATATTGGACTTTAACCGTTACTTATAACGCACCTATTGCCTCAAAGAGCGGGGAGTGATTTTGCGATTATCTGGTATTCAAAGTCCAGTAAATTAACCACGACTTCAAGGTCCGGCAAATTAACCACGACTTCAAAGTCCGGCAAATTAATCACGACTTCAAAGTCCGGTGAATTAACCACGACTCAAGGTCCAGTAAATTAACCACGACTTCAAGGTCCGCCAATTAACCACGACTTCAAAGTCCGGTGAATTAACCATGACTTCAAAGTCCGATGAATTAACCACGACTTCAAGGTCCGGCAAATTAACCATGACTCAAATACGGCAAATTAACCACGACTTCAAAGTCCGATGAATTAACCACGACTTCAAAGTCCGACGAATTAACCACGACTTCAAAGTCCGGTGAATTAACCACTGCACACACGGTTTCAAAGTGAGGAGCGCAAGTTTTTCGTCAAAGGAACGCGAACCTTGGATCCGCGGATCCACAATCCAGCTTGATAACGGCTAATCCACGGCCGGCCGAATCAATAAAGAACTGGTGTGTTAAAACATAAAATGTGATTGTGTTGGTAATTTTTATTCAAAGCTTGACATACTTCTG